TTAAACAACACTAAATTGTCTAAAAACTATAGATAGCATTTATTAGAAAATTTAATTTTCTTAAAGGGGGGTTAAGCCCACATATTTCAAGAAAAAACTAGTAAAATTTTTTATTTTTGTTTTAATGCATATTTGCATCATTAAACGACATGTTATGAATATTTAAGAGGTTTAATACCTTATGTGTTCCTATTTCTCTAGAAAATAAAGATTTTATAGAGGTTAGGACACTAATTAGATCGTATATCAAGTTTAAATAAACTACGGATTGGAAAGTTAGATATGATGACCATGTACGATGAAAATATGTTTAGACTACATTAATATGCATTGAGAGTTTGGTTTGGTATTTTTAAACAACACTAAATTGTCTAAAAATTTGAGATAACATTTATTAGAAAATTCAATTTTCCCTTTTCTCAAAGAGGTTGTTAACCCACGTATTTCAAGAAAAATTAGAATTTTTTTATTTTGGTTTTAATGCATACTTACATCATGAACTAACATAGTATGCAGATTAAAGAAGTTTGAGACCTCCATATACCACCAAAATCAATGATTAATACCCATTAATTCTCTATTTTTAGAGATATTTGGACAACTAAGGTATCAAAACTTTTTGATATTCATCTTATATCCGTGTTGGATGCAGTTATGCATAAATACAAAAATTCCATATTTTTGTATTTTATATCAGTGTTGGATAGAGCTATGCATAAATACAAAATTTTCATATTTTTGTAGTTTATCTTGAAATTTGTGGGTTACTGCCTACGAAAAAAATCTAGTTTTCCGATAAATGTTTTTTGTACTTAAGTTTAGCCTCTTTAGTGTTGTTTAAAATATTTAACCACATTAAATTTTATACTAATGTATCCTAAATTTATTTTCATGGTACATGAACATCAGGTATAATTTTCCAATGAGTAGTTTAATAAAACTTTATTTACCATGTAAATTAAGAAGCTAAATTCTATGAAGTCTCTAGAGAAATTGGATAAAAAAATTGCTAGACATTCTTAATCTTCATCCTATATATGTGTTGAATGCATATATGCATTAAAATAAAAATGCCATATTTTCTAACTTATTTTGAAAACTGTGGGTTAACCTCTACAAAAGATCGAGTTTTTCGATAACTGCTATATACTAAAGTTTAAACTCTTTCTTGTTGATTATAAAAATATATAATAACATTATACATTTATATTAATATGTGTTAAACTTATTCTCGTCGAAAACGGGCAACGTTTCTAACATTTTAATGAGTAATTTAACAAAATTTCATATTCCATCTAATTCAGTGGAATAACCTCTATAAAATCTGTAAGTTCTGTTGAAATAGAGAAAAATAAGGTCCCAAACCTCTTCATTTTCATCTCATGTCATTTCGTGATTAATTTATGCATTAAAACAAAATATCATATTGTTTAATTTATCGAGTGTTTTCCGATAAATGCTATATATACTAAAGTTTATCTTCATTGATATTTATTAAAATACCTAACCACACTCTTAATGTATATTAATGTATTCTTGACATATTTTCATGGTACATGTGCATCATTTCTAATTTTCCAATAAGTAATTTTTTTTAAACTTCATATACGACCTAATTAGTGTACTAAATCCTATAAAAATTCTATTTTCTAATGAAATGAGAACATCTAAGGTCTCAAACCTGTTTAATCTTCATATTATGCCAGTATACGATGCAGCTATGCATTAAAACAAAAAAAAAATTATTTTCTAATTTATCTTGAAATATGTGGGTTAACCCCTACTAAAAATTGAATTTTTTGATAAATATTATCTATACTATTTAGCCTCTTTAGTGTTGTTTTAAAATACATAACCACACTACAAATTTAGATATATGTATGCTAAACTTATTTTTATGGTACATATGCATAATTATTATTTTCTTCCAATAAGTAATTTATTTAAACTTCATATACCACAAAATAAGTGGACCAACCCCTCTAAAAGCTCCATTTTCTGTGGAAACAAGAATACCTAAGCTCTCAAACCTCCTTTTTCTTCATGTATCTGAGTGCATGATGAATCATTGATTAAAAAAAAATACCATATTTTCTAATTTTCTTGAAATATGTGGTTAACCCCTACGAAAAGATTAAATATTTCGATAAAATATTGTCTACAATATTTAGCTTTTTAGTGTTGTTTAAAAATACATAAACACACTCCAAATTTATATATATTTATGGTATACTTATTTTCATGGTACATGGACATCATTTCTATTTTCCAACGAGTAATTTATTTAAACTCCATATACTACCTAATAAGTGGATTAACCAATATAAAAACTAAATTTTCTGTAGAAATGAGAACACATAAGGTCTAAAACCTCTTTATTCTTCATATTATTCAGTGCATTATTCATAATTCATCAAAACAAATGTACCATATTTTCTAATTTATTTTGAAATATGTGGGTTAACCCCTACAAAAATATCTTGTTTTTTTAAAATATTTTATATAGGCCTCTTTAATTTTGTTTAATAATAACTAACCGCATTCTAAGTTTATATTAAGGTACCAAACTTATGTTCATGGTACATGAACATCAGTTTTAATTTTCAATCGAGGAATTTTAAAAACATCCATATACGATGAAAATCAATGAATTAAACCAAATAAAGTTTCTATTTTCTAGAGAAATTTGGACAATTAAGGATCAAAACTCTTTGATATTCATCTTATACCAGTGTCGGATGCTGCTATGCATAAATATAAAAATTCCATATTTTTATAATTTTTATCTTGAAATATGTGGGTTAATTCCTATGAATGTATTCTTAACATATTTTCATGGGAACATCTAAGGTCTCGAACCTTTTTAATATCTTAATGTATATTAATGAATTCTTAACATATTTTCATTGTACATGTGCATCATTTCTAATTTTTTAATGAGTAATTTCTTTAAACTTCATATACGACCTAATTAGTGTACTAATCCTTATAAAATTTATATTTCTAGTGAAATGGCAATATGTAAGGTCTCAAACCTCTTTAATCTTCTTATTATGTCAGTGCACAATGCATTTATGCAATAAAAATAACATATTTTCTAGTTTATCTTGAAATATGTGGGTTAACCCCTATGAAAAGATTGAATTTTTTGATAAATACTATCTATACTATTAACATCTTTAGTGTTGTTTAAAAATACATAAGCACACTACAAATTATATATATATATGCTAAACTTATTTTCATGATACATGGACATCATTTCTATTTTCCAATGAACAATTTATTTAAACTTCATATACCGTCTAATAAGTGGACTAACTCCTCTAAAAACTCTATTTTTTGTTGAAGTGGGAACACCTAAGGTCTCAAACCTCTTTATTCTTCATATTATGTGGGTGCATGATGCATATTCATTAAAAAAAATATATAATATTTTCAAATTTATCTTGAAATATGTGGGTTAACCCCTACAAAAAGATCGAGTTTTCCTATAAATCTTATATAGAGGCCTCTTTAGTTTTCTTTAAAAACACCTAACCTCATTCAAATTTTATATTAAGGTAATAAACTTATGTTCATGGTACATAGACATTAGTTTTAATTGAGGAATTTTAAAAAACTCCATATACCACTAAAATCAATGAATTAAAATCTATAAAATCTCTATTTTCTAAAGAACTTTGGACAACTAAGGTATCAAAACTCTTTCAGAGATAAATGGATGGAGATTATTGAGTTTGGGCATGTTTAGTTTATAATTTATATAATCATGCATGCTAAACACTGAAAACAAATCTCTGGGCCGTGAGGCCCAATCCAAAGCGATCAGTTTCTCCCGCCATTTCCGGCTAACTTCCCGTGCCGTTTAGGCTGGTGAGCGTTTTTTTGTTTTACGTAGCCAAGTGATTTGATCAGTAAAACTTACATTCTACTTATTAAGGTAATGTGTAAAGCAAGTGTGAGTGAGATTATATGAAAAGTTTTTTTGGGGACAAACAGTAAACAAGAAGATGAAGATGACTCGAAGCCAAGGGGTAGTCAGGTTTGTTACATTACATGTTTTGGATGTGAAATCGTCCACTTGTGATCTTCTTGGATTTATCAATGGAACTGTATGACTTTTGGTTCCTTCTGACGATATTTGTAATTTTACTATCTCTGTGGATACAAACAAGCATATATCATCCTGTCACTTAATTGTGTACTACCGGTGGAAAAAAGATATGAAAGAGACTTACTTGCTCCAATTATCTTCGACCATTTTTGGAAAAGACACGTGAAGTCTTTGGTGATGAAAGCAACGTGTGTCGTTTTTATTTTGGCAATGGTTTCTTAACATATGGAATTTAAGATGGCCTTTTAAAAATTAATCGTCTATGCATGTAAGTAATAAGAAAATTCACGAAGATAAACCAATCTTTCGGTGCCTTTTATTTTACGTATAATTTAAAAAAAAATAGAAAAAGTTGGAGTCAGTCAAGCATTACATTTGCCTCTTGTAAAATCTATAGTTCTTTCACACCTTTGGATAGTCGCGCTTGCTTTTGCTAACTAATATGTCAGCTTTACTGCAGTATCATTCTGCATGTGTATGTGTGTGGCGTGCACGTACTCGTTTAGTTGTTATCCTCAGAGGCCAAAAAAAGAAAGGCTATTCGTTGTCATAGTGTACACCACTTTGGGTTTAACAAAGATAGAGAAGCATTGGATGCTTTATAGATATTATGTTTGAGTTTTCTTTGGTACTCTCTGCTTTTTAGTGTCACAATCATCCTACGCTGCAACTGTCTTCTTTTTATTACATATGTTTTGTTCTGTTTGAGTGTCTTGTTGCCAACTTTTAAATAAATAGAATGATTGTTCTAACTTTTAGGTAAACCAACTTTGACAATATAATATTATTTACTTTTTCTTGTCACTATGGAACCAAATCTTTCCTCAGATCTCAATGTCTTCTCTTTTCCTTTACTCTACTGTACACATTTCTTTCTCAGTGAATTAGATAATGCTTTATATGGTTTGTTGGGTGTCTACCTGACATCTATGTATGTATACAAATCTGACTAAGTATAGATACATGGAAATATGTACATTACTGAAAATAAACATATACACATAAGAGTACTAATTGATAACAATCACATGAAAACATAATAAAAGATACTAAATGCAAGAATCAAGAAAATTAAAGAAGCTTAGAGCTTGAGTGATAAGTCAAGCTTCTGTACTTTCTCTTCCTGATTTGTTCTTAACAATCCTCCGTTTCCTCGCCATTGTTCAAGAGTCGGTGACCCTACTAGAATCCTTCCTAAGCTGCTCCATGATCTATCCATGTTACTGGACCGTGAAGTTAATGAAGGACCCATCATCATCATCTGATGCTGCTGATGATGAAAATGATCCATTGAAAAACGTTGACCTACTATTGGTGGTTGATCAAGTGGTAGTCTTGACCAGTTGATCTGACCATAATGACCACCAAGCCTATTATATGAACTTAGCTTGTGGCTCATCGAGTGCGCTTGAATCCCCAAAGACATGTTGTTGTATTGTCCATGGAAAGGAACTGGAGAAAAACCGTAAGGATGTTCAAAGGCCGAGGCTGATGTTACCATTCGTTGCCTTCTCTTTGCCAACGTCCTCTCTCTCTTGTGCGCGTTTTGGTGGCCACCAAGTGCTTGTGAGCTATAGAATGATCTTTGACAGTAGTTGCATGAGAACAGCTTGTGTTCCGTGGGTGTAGTCGATCCGTTATAACTCTTGTTGACCTCTATACTTGTGTCTATGCAGTCAAGAAGATTGAGTTCTTGAGTGGAAACATTAACATCTGTTTCTTGGCTCTGGTTTAGAGAGTCTTGACATGGAAAAGTTGTGGATGAGGAAGCCATGCAAGAGAGATCTCTAGAATTGTCCATGAGGGCTAAAAGGAGAACGAATTGTTTTTCTTTTTCCAAGTGATGATTTGTTCTCTCTTTCTATTATTAATAGCTATGAAAGAAATTTATACCTGTGGATGGTTGCAGAAGTAGATGGTATTAGAAAGGAATAGACAAAGAAAACAGTGCCCTAATAGTAAAACCTTTTATTAAGTATTTTTTGTGATAATAAGTATTGGAGTAAAGTACTATGAAGATGAGAGGGATAGGTAGGTTTGGTTTGCTGTTACACTCTTCTCACAAAACACTTAAAAGCTAGCTTATTGGACCAACACCATCTTCAAGAACCCAATCCTCATGAATCATGATATGTCATTAGGTTAGAGTTACTTACCCCTTTACCCAGGGCTATGATCAACAAGTTGAAAACTGGTAATAATTGAGTATGTGCAGTATTTGCTTGATATATAGAGTAAAAAGAGTTAAGTGGATTACAAACGACAAGTGAAAATGAAGCAGTTCTCAAAACAGTTATGAAGCTAGTACATCTGATGAAATGACAGGAGCGGAAAATGACAATAAATTGAAAAGGATGGATGTTAAAATACATGTACTGGAAATGGACCATCTAAATTATTTTCAGGTCAGTTTATGACTACTTTATGTAACTCCACGTGGTAAGTGGCCATTTCTGTCTCCTCTAGCTTCTCTTGTGGGTCTCTCTTTCAATCTTTTTTCGTCTGTTCTTCTGTACTCTCTATTATGACCAGACCGTAGATCAAACTAACTACAGAGTTATATAAATGTTATTTGGATTTAGTCAGGTAACTGTATGCCATGGCATGGATATTTTGCTCATTACTTTTCACATTTTTTTAATCTATTGTGTTTAGTAAGAAACTGTATGCCATGGCATGGATATTTTGCTCTCATTACTTTTCACATTTTTGTAATCTATTGTGTTTAGTAAGAAATCATTTAGGGAGATATACACCAATAAAAAAAAATTGTAATACTCAAATGAAACATTTTATTAGCACACATTTACATATGCAATGATAGAATGATGAGAGTAAGAAAACACAATCGTATTATGTTTCTAAAAAGGAAACTTAAAAGGCTTAAGATTTACAAAAGGTGTGTTTGACTGTTAGAAATAATGATAATCCAACAATAATGATTCCTTGATGTAACGAGTTACTGCACTTGTTATCAGCCAGCCGTGCAATAGTTCTAAGCCATTTCTAATAAGTTTTCCACCCTTACGACTTATTTGCAGCTGATCTCCTTTCCTTATTATGTATTTGATACATTTTATTTTGTATATTAGTTAGATATTGTAGACTATATAGTTATGGATTAAAGAATAGTTTGTCTTTATGAACCTTTTATCTTTATGTATCATTAAAGGAAAAGAGATTTGGAAAGTTCAACATTCTTCTTTACCATTTAAAGAGTTGATTCGTCAATATAATTTATGGTTTCCTACTTAGTTCATAATGAAATACAACTAGATTGCATGAAAAAAGTCACTTTATTCCACCAATTGAAACTTCTCTTTTGGAACCAGTAAGATCAAACCCACTTGCGAGCACTGAGCAAAGGTTTTTTTTTTAATCAAACATCTATGACTGTTTATGATATAGTTACTAACTATCTAAGATACCTTAAACATTTCTAAACTGTAGCTTAACTAAGGATATACTTTAGCTTGAAAGATCTAATGGTTAGATTGTGTAATCGTCGTATGCGAATTGTGGCCGTAGTTGGTGGGTCAGACGTACAAATGGCCGACACCTAAATGGGAAAAGCTGTTTCAGAGTTTTCAGTTACTAGTTAATTTGTTTTCAGATTCACTAGTTGCGGTTATAAATTACTAAGTTATATATTCTAAGATATTAGTACTACTGCTATATTCTCCGTTAAGAGAGTCCTTAATTTGCTTGTATCAACAATACAATAATGCGAATTTTGGATTGGCAAGTAATGTGAGTTAGCTTTTGCTTCTTATTGGGGGAGGTGATGTAAGAAAAGTAGAAACACATCTCCAACATAAAACTATACAAACATCTAAATCAAATATTGACCAAATCTACTTTTGGTGAATTTTATGTCTTCATCTTGAGTTGATGTCTTTCAAAAAGGTTTACAACAAACCAAACATGCTCAAGTGATTTCCGGATTAGTTGCATACATAGTAGTTTACTGACAGAATCTCAACATCTTTAGAATTTAGAAATGAGAAGCCAAGGCCATAAACAAGTATTGGAGATATTGATAAGAGTATCAAGAGGACTATTCTACACCTGTTTTCTTCTGATCTACAACAGCTTGTAAGAATTGGTAAAGTAGCAAATCTCAGATACCATTTGGTTTCCATCAGCTTGCGGGTTTCGAGAGCGCTCCTGCAGCAAACAGCAAATTTCTCCGAGAAAACTACACCAATGTAAAACACACACACATACACAAAGTGTTTTAGCATATGCTTTATCACCGAGCTTTGTAATGCTATGAAGGAAAGGTTCTAACTTCTAAACAAATTTTTGGTCACTAGTTTTAGTGATGAGGAGTTGATTACTTGATTTATTCAAAACCACAAGATGATAGACTTAGCCGACAATCCAAAGATGAAAGATATATTACATTGTTCCAAAACTGATGGAACTAATTCTAGTAAAGAGAGTATAACTTACGCGGAGTGCGTGAACTGGTGTGGACTTAGTGGGGAAAGTCCTGAGTGAACGCAGTCTGTTTGAGTTTCCGTTCCTGATCAACAACAAATAATAAATCACTTTTAACAAAACAAACTACTATTTAAAGAGAATAATGATATGCCTTTAGACCGAGTAAACTCACTTTTCCTCGGCCTTAGTCGATTTGGTACTTGAAGTGACGTCCCACAGTTTCACTGTGCAGTCGGCAGATCCAGAAGCCAGAAGAGACCCCTCGCCGCTGTAACATAAAAAATAAAGGTTAGTACTTAGTAGTTCTTGGATCATTGGACTCGTAGTTTGTGAGTTCACTATGCCAACCAAGCCCAGACATTCCATTAATGACCCATAACGAGACCTCTATGACTCTCCACAATCCACGACAAGAATCCTCCGTAATAAAAAAAAAGTTAATTTCCTATTTATCACGCCCTCTCACCTGTAAGAGAGACTCCAGACACATGAATTATGGCCCATCAGAGGTGTGATGCAGCGAGCTGTTGAGAGGTCCCACATCATTATGGTTCCATCTTCATCACCAGAGGCCATATATCTCCCATCTGGTGACATTGCCAATGATAGAACCATACTCCTGTGCCCAATGAATATCCTCACACATTCCCCTGTTTGGACATCCCAGAGTCTAACCGTCTTATCACTAGAACCGGTTGCAATGTAGTTGCAATTGGGATGCCACTGTACACACTGAAACAAAGGCAATTGACAAGTACATGAAAGGCCCATCAATAGATATCCAAATGGAAATTGAAGTTGCTTATTTGTATTACTGTCAATCCAAATAGTTAAGTAATCCAACGTAACCTTATGACTTCAAGTCGCTTAGATGACAATCTCTAGATCAGCTATAAACTTGTTGATTCATAACTTATGATTGCCAACGTCAAATTAAAAATAAAAAGAAAAGGCTACTAATCTAAGTCGGTAACAATGCAAAGTGTTAGCTAAAACATTTAAACTGTGACACGGTACACTAATGCCTTCAACTGCATGAATGAAAAACTCAAACGGTCCCTTTGTTAAACCTCTGCATATTAAACCCCTAACGATAAAGATGAGGGAGACGCTTACATCAACATCAGATAGATGGCCTGCCATTATCCGCAGAGGTAGTATCCGGTCCATTGACCAAATCCGTGCAGTACGATCATGAGAACAGCTTGCAAAGTAATGCCCGAAAGGGCTAAACTGCACCATGAAACGAGTATATATAATGTAACCTGTCTGTTACCTATAAATCCCCGTTTATGTAAGACAAATGTGTGAAGATTGAACAGCTATACCTGGACATCCCATACAGGGTAATTATGACCCTTGTAGCACACGAGATTGGCATTTAGTTGTGTGCTCCACAGCCGTACTGCACTTAAGAATACATAGTAAAAGTCTGAACTAATGAGCGTGTACAGATATGTAGAGTGGTGGACAGATACATACTTGTTGTATCTGCTGAAGAAGACAACACAAAATCTCCCGGAGGACTGAAAGTGGCCGAGTAAACTGGCCCTGAGTGACCCAGTAATAATGTATAATTTCTTCTGCCATTTGGTCCAACGATCTGATCATTTGTATCACTTTCACTCTGCAAAGCACCTGGAACCAGACAGCTTTAGTGTCCATAACTTCTCATAGACACACAAACAAGAATCATGAAAAAACAGCAAAACGAACAAGGGAAATGTAGGAACAACGAATCCTTTTTAAATGCTTGTCAAAATAATTGATCACAGAGAAGGTCATTAAAAACATACCATTACCAGCTTGCCCTATCTTCGCCATGTCCCAGATCTGAACACCATAATCATCAATTAGGCATCACTTCAGAGAGTAAGAAGACAAGACAAGGAAGTATATACAACCATTCAAGAAAAATATACCTTAACTGATGAATCTGAGAACCCACCAGCAACCAGAGAACCATCATGAGATATGGATGCACAGTTTAACCTGAGGGACGATAAAATGAGTTAGCAAAAAGTTGCAAATAAGCAATCAAACATTATGAGGAGATGAGGACATTACCCATTATGAGTATTAACAAATGTATAAAAGCTGACAGATGGCATTGCGACACTACTCAACTGCACACGGTTTCTCAGGTCTTCAAGGATGGATTCCTCTACATCCGTTGACCTAACAAAGAAATGGAGATAGAAGAAAAATCTAAGTTACAGTAGTTAAGTTTTTCACAGCTACTATATTTATTTTCTCTTTTAATCAATCATGCATCGTCCATGTATATTTCCTTTTCACTACTCTATCATGAAATCCTACCAAAAAAAAATGAGGGATTCAAAATTTACATGACTGGCAAAGCAAGTTCCGGTTTTACACGTGGTGCCGGCGATACTGTGCTGGTCTCCTGACGTGCAACTTTTGCTGTTGCATTTCCTGCTTTGTCCTTCTTTAACTTCTTAATGGAAGAGCCTTGCTTTCCAATTTCGGAGGATCTTTTCTGAACACGGTATCAACTGACGAGTTAATATCGATTTTTTTGTCCAGAAATTACTGATCTAAGTTGAAGGTACTTATCACCTTACTATCATCCATGTCCCCGTCTTTTTCTCCTTGTCCCTTCTCAGAATCAGTCAGTAGACTTCCCGTCTTCTCGAGGCGATCTTCCAGCGAGTCTTCAAGCAACTATGAAAGAAAAAAGTATATATAATTATTGACTTCGCAAAGATAATATTCCATGGGATGAGGTATCAACACAAATACCTCCCGAATAAAGAATAAAATAAGCTTTAAAAATACGTACTCCCCACTGTATTTCTTTTTGATTGACGTGATCAGCTGTCTCCTGAAAACTCCCAACAATGGTGACAGCGTCTATGTCATCAGACGAAGAATTTGGCTGTCCCGAGTAGACTGCAACAAATGACCACATGACAAAGCATTGGATTCAGCTTGCTACTCAGAAAACTGCTACATGCTTTAGCATATATACTTGAAGGAAAAAAATACCTTGGAAATTGATGTGCTCGTTAATAATACCAAGCATTAAAGTAGATTCCGTCCTATGTAGATACTGAAGTAACAGATCATACGAATACTGCAACATTTAGCAAACATGTAACAAATCAGCAGCCATGGAATCCAATTAATCAGACCCGAAACATTGAAGCATTTGTCTGTAACACCTAGTAATCATTTTACACTTTAACTTACCTGACAAATCTTGATGTTGACCTTGCTTTGTCTAAGAGAACGAGCAAACTCCATCTCCTGATAAAAAAAAACAAGGTCAAAATACAGTTTAAAAACCCCATTATCAACCAAATAAGGTTAGCTTAAAACCTCTAGATGAGAAGGAACAAGAACGCCTTCAAGCTTCTGAAGATCCCGCAAATGTACCATTTCATGATCTTTTCGGAAGCTGTTAAAGAAGGATCTCGCTGGAACACAAGCAAAATGTATCCCATGTGATTAAAACAGTTCCACTAAGCTTCTAACTGTAGTTTTCGACAAGTACCTTCTTGAGTGTGTCCTTTCCCAACCAGATCCATGTAACAATGAATAAACAGTGGATACATCACTCTAAGCAACTCATGCTACAAAATCCAAGCAAACTCATCAGTTACAGATTCATAACAAAATAAGACTAAGAAAAAAACAGCCAAAGGGAGTAAAGGTACTGACTTTATAAAGATCCAACGAGTTATAAGCCCATGACCTAAGTTTGCTGTAACCGTCCCGGTACCGAGTCGGATCATTCTCTGATCTGCAAAAAAAAAACAAATTACATAACCAAACCAATTAATTAAAACCCTAATTTCTTCCCAAATCACTCAACAACTTATATGACAAATAATAATTAGGGTTACAAATTTCACACTAATTATAAAATTCCCAAAATAATCAAAACGAAATTCGAATTAAAACAGAATCAATAGAGAGAGATGAATTACTGGGAGAAGGAGCGAATGAGCTTAGTGAGCTCAGGATCGTTATGATAATCGGTGGAATTGAAGTTTCCGCCATTGTTGTGGTGAAGAGCTTCTTGAAGCTGTTTAGCTGCGCTGTTGAAACCTTTCTTCTTCAAGTAACCCATCACGAACTCGTCGACTTGCTCTGGATCCATTTTTTTTTCTTCCTCTTTTCGCTCACTGAGTTCTCTCTTCTTCTGCTCTGAATTGGTTTTTGCTTTAGCTTCCGACAAATCTCGGATTTGATGGATGGATTATAATAGAGTGGTGAAGTATTTTTTTGAGTAAGTTCAAGGCCTTTTCTATAAATGGGCCTGTTTAAATGGCCCAAACTCTTTACACTGTTAATTTGGTTAATAACAAGTTTTTTTTTCCAATTTTATTTTTTATTTTATTGTGAATGATTGGTTGAACTGTAGTTCTGTAAAAAAAAATATTTAAAATTTAATCTGCATAATTTTGATGTAATTTTATTTAAATTATTATAAAAATAAATAAATAAATAAATAAATTTCTATAGCAAAATTATTATGTTTAGAAAAAAAAAATTTATAACTTTTTCTTTTATTTTACTTTAAAAATTATATAAGTTATGATTGATGATTTTTATGGTTGTAAATATAAAATAAACGTTAAAACAATTGATACAGCCTAACCTATGTTGTATTATACTAAAGTCTTATATGTATTTTTTCGATAATCTAAATAACTGATGAATAATCGGTTTTTAGATTTTACATATATTTTAATTAAATTACTGAACTAAAAACTACCACAAATTTATATAAGAAATATTATTGAAATAGTTTAAGAGCTTAACTGAATTTGGATGATTTCAAGTTTTTATCTTACTGTATTTTGTTTTTGAATGTGGGTTAACAAAAAATTTTGTGCACCGTGTGTTTTAAATTTATTCATCACAAAAACGGTTGTACAATGTCTATAACATGTAGTTGAGTTTCAAAAATCAGAATTGAATAAAAACACAGATGAGTAGTATAACTTTGACCGGATCATGACGTTTGATACCACAACTCCATAGCCTTTTCAAGTTGTTGCCATGTTGTCCTCGAGTAGCAGAGCTTCTGATTCTTATTTGTTTCTCGATGCGTTGCATTAAACAAGCTGATGGCAAGTCCTTCTCTCTGTCTCTTCTACCATTTCGCTCAAACCAAATTGTGTATAATGACACCTGAATGACATATCGAATTAGGAAAGAACTGGTCCAATCTTGAGAGGTACATCGTCACCAGCAGTTGATCTTACTCAGTTGTGTACCTCGTGCAGATGCAGATGACGGTTACACGCAGCAGATGCAGCAGACGGTTCTTGTTACACGTATAGAGCGGGTTCGTCATCACTATTATCTATTTGAGATTGGCATCAAAGATATAGTTATCGACTTGTTATTGTGTAACATTTTCAAATAGTATAACACTTTTTTCCATAAAAAAATAGAATTAATATCGTGGACGACACATAGAATTAGTGACTAAACTATTTTGACTTTTTTTCTTTTAAAAGTAGAGTTAATATCGTGTGATCCGCTAGACCACATATCATATATTTCTTGTTTACTTTAGTTAATTTTAGTTTGTTGAACCTCACATATAAAGATTATTTCCTCAAAGTAATTTTGTGAGAATAGCTATTTAGCGTTTTCACAAAAAAGAAAAAAAATGTATAATGTACGATCTTTATTCATTGTTGATTGTTCTTTTATTATTCCAGAGTCAGTGCTAACCTAGGAAATCTAAAGCCAGAGAAACAAGTTAAAAAGAAAAAATTGACCTTCCTTCTGAGATTCGAAGCTGGGTTGGACAAAAAGAGTCTAATGACTTCATATGTAGCCACTACACTAAAGAAGAGTTGTAAGAAATGTGATTGAAATTGTATTTATAATATTAGAGTCAGAAGCCAGTGATTCCTTGATTTGTGTCAAATGCTGACTCTGTCTCAGTAAACATGAAAACTCTTTTATCCAATAGTTTGATTAATGATGATTCACTGATACTTTATAATTGGAGATATGAGTTTGAAATTTCACAAAGAAAAAAAAAAACAATTTCTAAAGGTCAAGTAAAGTAATTAGCAAACAATTTCTAAAGGCCAAGTAAAAAAAGAATTCCTGTCTCTGTCTCTTCTACCATTTCGCTCAAACCATATTGTGTATAACACATGAATAACATATCGAATGAGGAAGTAACTGGTCCAATCTTGGGAGGTGCAACGTCACCAGCAGTTGATCTTACTCAGTTGTGTACCTCGTGCCTACGAGCTTGTTAATGAGTGAGCGGCTTTCACACTGCCTCTGAATAAGCACAAGAGAAAAATAAATGGTTTCTAGGTTCAATAGCTTTTTGCACAGCAAACATGAGACGTCTGCTTGCACATTCCACATTCCACGTCAATTTCTAGCCAAATACTAATAAAATATTTCATTACTTAAAATAAATGCGAGCCAGAAGTAACGGTCTGGGAAAGTTGTGTGGTTATCAAAAATAATGTGCTTGACGACGGATTTACATATGATAATTATTAAGATCACATCTTGAACTATATTTACATATGATAACTATTAAGTTTATTTCTTGAACTATATAAATACAAGGATAACATTAACTCCATTGGGTAAGGACTGGGATAACTTGAAGTGGAGTTTTCTTAGGACACACAAGCCCATATGCTTCTTCAAGATCAACATCTTTTACCTCCATTCCATCCGGAAGCTTCCAATCAAATCGATAAAGAAGGTTGATAAGTGTCAAATGTGCCAAAGCCATACCCATCCCCATACCAGGACACATCCTCCTTCCGCTTCCAAACGGCAACAACTCAAAGTTCAAACCCTTATAGTCAATCTCATTGTCCATAAACCTTTCAGGGATGAACGCTTCTGGATCATTCCAAACGTTTGGATTCCTATGAACACCCCAAATGTTGACATGGATCCATGTTTTCTTTGGAATGTCATAACCTGCGATCTTTATATCTTTTGAAGCCTCTCTTGGAACTAGAAGTGGCACAAGTGGGTTTATCCTTAACGTTTCTTTAATCACCATTTTGAGATACTCGAGTTGTTCTATGTCTTCTTCTGTGATATTGTCTTTGTTCTTGATCACTTCTCTCACCTCGGCTTGTGCTTTCTTTAAAACTCTTGGGTTTGTAATCAAATGTGTCATCGCCCATGATACTGTGTGGCCAGAAGTGTCTACTCCAGCAATAAGAACATTCTGTAATAATAACAATCAATAAAACAAAATTAATAAAACGTTACGCAACATGTAATTAATGATAAGTTTACGTTACTTACTAGAAGAATCCCTTTGGTGTGGTTTCGAGTGAGTTGAAACTCTCCAAGTCCAGCTTCTCCTCTTTCCATTTTTAGTAGCAAGGCAATGATATCATCTTTAAGACTCTCATCTTCCACGTGATGCTTAATAGATTGTTCGAAAAATGCATCCAATGCTTTAAAAACTTTTTCACATTTGCTATGTAACCCCGTAACCCTATCAATGAGTCGACCAACAACAGGGAAGTAATCCACTGCTGCAAAACTCCCCAACACTTCCATGGTATCGCGAATAACTTCCTCATAAGTATCCTCGAGTTTGCTCCCTTTGAGATTTATCCCAAACCCTACTCTACAAATCACACTCCCAGACAGTTTCATTAACCTCTTGCTCAAGTTAACTATGTTCCCTAATGAAGCAGATTCCTTTATGAACTCCACCAAGGAAGCAACTTCTTCTTCTCTTATATGTCGAAACGATAAAACCCTTTTCGCGGTGTAGAGTTCAAGAACCGTCATCTTCCGCACTTCCCTCCAGTACTTGCTATAAGGAGAAAAGGCTAGGTCGTTTTGGTTGTAAGAAACTCTTGCAGGGTACGTCAAGTAAGGTCGAGAGCAACACTCTGCGTCGAATGTTTTTAAGACGTCCTTCACCGTCTCTGGAGCTGAAGCCACCACGGTGGACACGTTTCCAAACTTAAGAGACATTAGAGGTCCATACTTTTCAGATAGTTTTAGCATGGAACGTTGGGGTTTGGATCCTAGTTGGTGCAAGTTTCCAATTATAGGAAGTCTTGGTGGTCCAGGAGGTAGATTCTTCTTGTTCTTTTTCATGTTCTTTGCAACGAGTAACGATGCAAAGAAGACGATAACAACAATAATATACCATATACTCATTTTGCTTCCTACACAAAAAGGGATAGTTTGTCAGTTGATTTTTAGTTGGTCTGTTAATTTGATGATCTTCATAGAAATATAAATAGCAAGTTCGCATGTTATTAAGTGGATTAATCAACAAAAAAAAAGATTTGTTCAAAAAAAAAACCAACAAAAAAAGAATGTTACGTGAACTGAAAATACAAAACTAGAACCACCAAAGCATCACTCTTTCGAGTATCTAAGAGTTTCTTCTACAGTATTGAGACATATATAGATAGAGATACTTGAGTTTGGTAACATTACCTTAAAGTCTTATACTTTGTGCTGAAGATTTGAGAGAGAGGAGTTTCTATTTACTGTTGTTGTGGGATGATTGTGTTACATGCTTCAGGTGGTTGCAACATATTTATGTATGGGAGCTGTGTTACACGCAGCAGATTGTTCTTGTTACACGTATAGAACGGTTCGTCATCACTATTATCTATTTGAGATTGGCATCAAAGATATAGTTATCGACTTGTTATTGTATAACATTTTCATAATGAACTGACATAGGTTTTTTTGGTTATATATAAAGGTTAAAGCCAGCTTTATGTAATAGTATGACACATAAGATTAGTGACTAAGTTATTTTGAAGATTTTTTTCCATAAAAAAAATAAAATTAATATCGTAGGCGACACATAAAATTAGTGACTAAGCTATTTTGACTTTTTTTTCTTTTAAAAGTAAAATTAATATCGTGTGATCTGCTAGACCACATATCATATATTCTTTATTTACTTTAGTTAATTTTAGTTTGTTGAACCTCACATATAAAGATTATTTCCTCAAAGAAATTTTGTGAGAATAGCTATTCAGCGTTTTCATAGAAAGAAAAAATGGATAATATACGATCTTTATTCATTGTTGCTTGTTCCTTTTATATTCATGAATCAGTTCCAGTCCTAGGAAATCTAAAGCCAGAAGCAAGCTAAAAAAAAAAAAAATTGACCTCCCTTCTGAGATTCGAAGCTGGGTTGGGCAAAAAGAGTCTGATGACTTCATATGTAGCCATTAGACCAAAGGAGAGTTGTGAGAAATGTGGCCAATATTGTATTTATAATATTAAAGCTGGAAGCCACTGTTTTCTTGACTTGTGCCAAAGGCTGGCTCTGCCTGAGTAAACTTGAAAACCCTCTTAACCAAAAGTTTGATTCACTGATACTTTATAATTGGAGATATAAGTTTGAAATTTCACAAAGAAAACAAAAATTTTAAAGGTCACGTAAAGTAATTAGGAAATTGGTTAAATAAAATTTTCATCATGGTGTAGTATAAATAAAAACGTTAGTTTTCAGGATCATGGTAGTGTAATTAAAACCATCAGAATCATCATAAAACATTTAAATTTTTACTCTCTTTTGCTATAGACTTCAATTTCTTCAGGTCTCAACAAAGAGTCGACCATTTTAAGTAACCGTCATTTTCAAATAGTATAATTTTTTTTCTTTTTTATAATGAACTGACATAAGTTTTTTTGGTTATATATAAAGGTTAAAGCCAGATATATATAATAGTGTGACACATAGGATTAGTGACTAAGCTATTTTCACGATTTTTTTCCATAAAAAAATAAAATTAATATCGTGTGCGACACATGAAATTAGTGACTAAGCTATTTTGACTTTTTCTCTTTTAATAATAGAGTTAATATCGTGTGATCCGTTAGACCACATATCATATATTCTTTGTTTATTTTAGTTAATTTTAGTTTGTTGAACCTCTCACGTAAAGATTAGTTCCTCGAAGAAATTTTGTATTTAGAGTTAAGTAGTTAAATTAATGAGTAAAATAGGAGGAAAATTAAGAGAGTAGCCACTATAAACATTTAATTTCATACTCTTTTGCTATAAGATTTCAATTTCTTCCGGTTCCAACAGAGAGACCATTTTAAATAACCTTTAGGAGTAGCAGCAAACACCATTTACTTCTAACTGCTAGTTTCTTCTCCTATATATGCAGACCCAATCTTTCATTTACAACAGAGTCCAAATATAACCACAATCAGTCTCATCTTTCTCTGTCTTTGTCTCATACACAACTTAACTCTACTGGCTCAGGGAACTCTTGTTGAAACTTCCTGTCTATTATACTTCTTATTGGTGTTGTTGTTAGCTCATGTTGCCTGTTGCAAAGAGATTCTGGTAGGAGGCAAACCCAGTGCTTGGAATATCCCTTCTTCGCTGTCGATTCACTCAACAAATGGGCTGAGAGTTTGCAGTTTCATGTTGGAGACTCTCTCGGTGAGTTTGCAGAATCTTGGTTTTCAAACTTCTGAAACTCTTGTGATTGTGTTTTATGCATTTGTAACAGTATGGAAGTACGATGGGGAGAAAGATTCGGTTCTGCAAGTGACAAAGGAAGCATACATTAACTGCAACACGACAAACCCAGCAGCTAGTTACAGCAATGGAGACACTAAGGTGAAGCTAGAGAGCTCTGGACCATTCTTCTTCATCAGTGGCTCTAAGAGCAACTGTGTCCAAGGCGAGAAGCTTCACATTGTTGTCATGTCATCTCGTGGTGGCCACCACACTGGTGGCTTTTTCACTGGCTCTGCTCCTTCTCCGGCACCTTCTCCTGCTCTTTTGGGATCTCAAGCTGTTCCTCCTGCAACTGGTTCTGCTTCTTCTTTTACCAGTCGAATTTGGGTTTTGGGACTTGTTGGATTAGCAATTGTTTTGCTCTGAGTTTATCTATAGACTTTGTTTAGATTTCATCTCTGCTATTGATTCTTTTAACTTGTTTGGCTTTTCTGATATATTAGACGAAAAGCTTCTGAAATCTGTTGCTAACAACAATGCAATGTACATCTTACATCATCCATCATCCATCATCCCTAACCATAGGTCCCCAAAAAAAACACCATCAAAGATGAGTTATGAAAACCAACTTCTCTCTGCAAAGCGAGGGCGATGATGATGATGATGAAGCCACAAACACAATCCAAAAAGGAGCTGCAGTGCCTGCAAGATATGAAGAGGAAGAGTTGAAGAGCCGAGAGATGTCAAACAAGTGACTGAGTGACAGAAATGATAGTGAATAATCTCAACCCTCAAGGGAACAGACATTACACTACTTCCTCCTTAACCCATCCTCTATGAATACCAACATATACTATCAGGAGAAACAAACATGTAATTTTGAAAATGAGAACTCATGAAGGGGCTAGAGTTTTGAAAAGAAACAGCGTTTTATTATGGTTAAATGGCACAATGTATGTATTTCAGGAGTCAGAGAACATGAGAAGAGCGTTTATTATTTGACCAAGAGAACATTACCATGATATATATATTTGGTAAATCAGGCTGTACCCTTTCAGCATCATCTGAATCATCAGCTGCCGCCATTACAGGACCCTTCAAACCAGTTTCAGTGTTACCATTAAGCTCACGAGCTGCCTTTTCAATAAACTCCTTTGCATTTGACTGAACAGACTGTTTCTCATTTGATTGGTACTTCCTCTTTTTCGCTGTTGTTTCTGAAGAGGCCATACTTGATTTCTCTCCTTGACTGAGGTCTCTCATGTTTTGCTTTTGGTCTACATTCATTTACCAAAGATTGTTAGAGAAACATGGATATATAATGCAAAAGGTAAAGGTAGGAGTAAAAACTGTATAAAAGATTACCAGATGTAAGATCAGGCAGAGAGTGTTCGATGACACGTGTTGCTGCCTGACGGTTTAAGACTGTAGTCGGACGCAATGGTTCTACGATAAAGACAGAGAAACGTATAAGAGAACATCAAGTGGATAAGAGACTGAAAGGTAGCAATCTAGTCTCTAGCAAACCAGTCCCCGGGCCCCCCAACTTCAGATAGTAGACAAGAACAATAGATTCAAATCAAATAAGCTTTAAAAAAGGAAGTGATTACTGTCGAAAACAAAGTTGAAATATCAATCCATTTGAGATAAAAATTATTCAAAGGGAAAACGAAAAGCGACAACAGAGAACACAGCAGACAACGCAGGTTCTTTTATTTCAAAAAACTACGGTGTCCCAAGGAATGTTACACTTCTTTATAAAAGGAATTGAAAATTAAAGATGATAGGTAGATGACAATAGCAATCCCAGAACAATGCAATAGGAGCGAAAAATCATGATAAGCCTTCCAATGGAATCACCACTTCAGTAATATATAAAGTTGATGGCATACTACTCCCTTGCATTTGAGATGAGTGTGTGTAATAACTAATAAAGAATCCTTCAACGAAAAACCATTATATCTACGAGAGGTTATAGTTAACACATACAAAAACTGAACAAAAAATGACATGCAGCACTTTTCATTCTCCAAATAATAAGATTAAGAAAATTCTAAATTAATTTTTTGAAGAACTGAATTTGTTATTCCCCATGAAAATCATAAGCTAATAAATGCAGCAACTCTACAATGAAAAGAGAATCCACAAAACAATACAACCACTCAAATTCAACAGTCACAACAAGTAACAAGTCTTAACATCTCTAACAAATCAGCCAAGCAGCGTTGAAATCAATCTTTACCTTTACTTTGATCCATACACCGCTGTAACTTCTCTCTGTACACGTTCAGCCTCTCCTGTAAAAAAAAAAAAACAACACTACCATCAACATAACAACCAAAAAAGACACCTTTTTAATTTCATAAGAGTCTACAAAACACCAATTTGACTAAAGATCATATCCAAAGACACAAACTTTACACATACAATTTCAGATATCATCAGGGTTCACACCAGCACACCTTAGCCTCACTGGAAACAAACAAAAAAAACCACAAAAACAGTTTAAAAAACATCATCTCAAAAATGAACAAACTTTAACAGATTAATAAGACAGTTTACGAGTGAAAATCGTTGTGGTGGCTTCGGCTAGCAAGTACATAGCTTTAGCTCTCTGCAACGGCTGCATTTGAGCAAGATCCTCTGGTTCAGCTAAAGACATCATCATCTCCTCAAGCTGTGGTTTCAGTTCCTGGAGTTGGGACATGGTTTGTTTCACAGCCTCCATAACTGACTCTGGCACGACTGCTGCGGCGGCGCTACTTCCTTCACCTCCTTCCATAGTAACCAACCAAGAATTGGGAGTTACAAAATTTTAGCGGAAAATGAATGACGTCAGCGGTGTAAAAAATGCTGTTAAAGTCAAGTCAGAAGTGGGCTGTTAACGGGCTGACGTGCAACTCAGCGTTTTGCGTTTTTTTTTCTTCCCTGTTTTTGGGCATGATGGGAGAATGAGAGGCTTCAACACTATGGGTTCTACTAATAAAGTACTATCTTTTTTTTTGACCTTTTAGATAATTTCAAATGAATAATTTTTTTGTTGTAATTTTTCATTATTTAAATGTGTAATTTTACTAGTTAGTTACTGTATAGATCTTTTTTCACCTACCTGCTTTTTATTCAATCAAAATTTTGATCCTTTTTTTTTTCTGATGATTTATAGAAAAATAATACATATAAGCATATGCTCAATTTAGCTAAAAAGTTGATGCAGACACATTGATGCTAAAAAGTTTATAGAAAAACTATGTTAAACATTTCGAGAAAAATATCCATTAATCTGCCAAAAATTCAATTAATCAGATAATTTCTATAATTTTTTTGAGCAAATCTCTTAGATAGATATTTTAATTTTTTATCACTAAATAGACTTCAAAAACTAAAATTACAAAAATAACATTTTTATTTTACAAATTTTAATTTTTTTTTTAAATTTGAAATCTTGCCTTCAAAATCTTATTCTTCAACTCTAAACAAAAAAAATTCTAGGATTAGTTAACCCAAAAGTATAAATGTATATTTACTTATTTTTTATAAAATATTTAATTTTAAGAAAATTATATAATTTAAATATTTAATTTTAAGAAAATTATATAATTTAAATATTTATTTTAATATTTAGATCAATTGAGTAATTTTATAAATCACAAATTATTTTACGTATTTTGAATAATAATTTGTAGTAATTAATCGTTGTAATACTCAATAAATAAAATAAATAAATTGAAATTCCTAAAATTCGTACCATATAGTAATCTAAGTGATTAATCCTAATCTTTTATTTACTTTGGTATATCCTCTGTCCTTGTGAGCTCACGTGGTGTGTTTCTCCTGGAGCCCTAGGTTCCTGATCGTTCCCCCCAAACCCTAGCTCCGATTCACAATCATGAGCTCCTTCTCGATCACCCGTAAGAAAACGCCGTTCCAGAAACACAAGGAAGAAGAAGAAGCTCGAAAGAAGGTTCCGTTGAATTTTCCTCTCTCTCTCTTTTCGCAAATTTCAGTTTCGATTGATTGATTGAATTGATAATCGATCCAATCGCAGAAAGCTGAGGATGAGACGGCTCGTCTCTACCAGGAATTCGTGGAGTCGTTTCAAGGGGAGAGTGGGACTAAGACTTTTGTTCGCGGTGGCACTATTAACCCTGGGGAGAAGCCTAAAGTTGATTCCGAAGGTATAAAGGCTTTGGATTTTGTTTTAACTTGTTTGCTTTTACATTGCTTCGTTTTCGTTTGTGTGAATGGTGTCAAATGGTTAGAAAGAATGTTTTTTTTCTGGTTTGTTTTGAGAACATGTTAATAAGAGTATGGATCTTTTTTTTTCTATGCGTTCGCGGATGGCAGGTGAAAAGTCCAAAGATGGGGGTTCCGTTTCAAAGAAGGGAAGTAGGTAAAGTGGTTAATTGTTTGCTTTCTGATTGTTTGATCAACCTTGCAAAGCCGTAAGCTGAAAGAGTTTAACATCGTTTGCATTTTCTGATGAGTGGTTCTTACAATACTATCTATCATGTGTTTATGTCGTCTGTGTATAGCAAGTAGCTGATTTCTTCATTTGATAAAAGAGTTGTGGGTCTTAGGAATAATGTTTTTTGGTTATTGCTTGATAAGAAGTTGAAATCTATGTGCGTGTTTTTGTGAGGTAGTATGTTATCTTCTGCGTAATCTGTGTAGGTATGTTCCCTCTTTTCTTCCACCACCAATGGCATCTAAGGGTAAAGAACAAGAGAAGAAGGTCAGTAGCAAGACTATTTTCACTGTATTTTTTACTAATCAGGTTTTTCCTTTGAAGCAGCTATGGGTTGATTGTAATTTTATTTATATTATCTCTGTAGAGGGAGGAAGAGAGACCTAAGGAGAGAGAAAGAGGAAAGACTCGAAATATTGATAATTTCATGGAGGAGCTGAAACGTGAACAAGAAATGAGGGAAAGACGAAACCAGGATCGTGACCGTCAGGGCGATAGCTCGGTTAGTTATCATAGCCTTGTGCTCTTTTTATCTGTTTTCTGCTTTCAGGGTAACCCTGAACTGTTTTTTTTTTTGGAGAGATATGTCCTGCATTTTGTACTTAACTTATTCTATCTTCAGCCTTCTAGCCGCTTTGACGAGCTAGCTGATGATTTTGATCCCACTGGAAGGCTAGGATCGTTTGATGATGGTGACCCACAAACGACAAATTTGTATGTTGGGAATCTATCCCCAAAGGTATCTATTATTCTTACTTGAATTTGTGTACTGTTCTCTCTCGCCAATGTTTTCTTGTATTTGTCCTTGACTTATATTTTGAGATGTGGTTTTTTATGCTCAAATAGGTTGATGAAAACTTTCTTTTGCGCACCTTTGGAAGATTTGGGCCCATAGCTAGTGTCAAGATTATGTGGCCAAGAACAGATGAGGAGAAGAGGCGACAAAGAAACTGTGGCTTTGTTTCCTTCATGCATAGAGCTGATGGTCAAGCTGCAAAAGATGAAATGCAAGGTTAGTTAGCCTTCTTCTCTTTAGAGCTATCTATTTTAGCCTGGTCTAATGATCAGTTGCTAGGTAGGGGCAACGTATGTAATGTATAAAAGAGAAGCTTAAAATGGATAATTTCACCAGAAATGTATTTAGGTTTTATGCTTTTCAATAGCATATCTTGACTACTTTAAGTCAAAATATTTGATTGGTTTCATAAGTGCAAATTCTACGTCATTGTCAAAGAATATGTAGCTAAAATTCAGTACAAGGCATGCATTGCATTTAGGTTTAGTCATTATTACTACCTAGCTTTGGTGCCCTGGCTTTTCTTTCTTCATTGATGCAATTGCTTCCGTCTCTTCGTTCTTCAGTGTTACTGCTTTGTATTGGTACATTTGTCTTTTCTTTCTTGATCGATACAAATTACACACTGGTTAGTCAATGTTGGAAACTAATGGTCTTTCTGGCAATTTATACTAGTCTATGGTCGACTGGTTTTGTATTAACTAAAATCCTGATTGTGTGTGAAAATTCAAAGAAACTTATGAAGGAGATACTAATTTTACAGGGATCATCGTGTACGATTATGAATTGAAGATTGGATGGGGTAAAGCGGTTTCTCTACCATCACAAGCATTACCCGCTCCACCACCTGGACATATGGCTATTCGTAGTAAGGAGGTCTGTGATGCATCATGTGCTACTCGTTGGGATTCATTTCTTTTTTAATCCTGTTTGCTATTTTATTTATTTGTTGTCACTCTAATATTTCATATAATTTCATTGGCAGGGCTGCAACTTGATTTTTTCGGGTCAATCGGGTCCACCAATAATAACTTCTGTTCCAACTCAAAATTCCGAGCTGGTATGTAAACTTGATTCTACAAGGCTTTAATTGGTTCTTTAGAAGTTGTATATGATATTCGAGGAGTGCTCTTGAATTACTTTATGGCCAATAGTATTATGTTAAGTCTCAGAATTGATATTCTCTAGAACATAAATAGAACGAAAGAACAAACCAGGGTTGATACTAGTACACCCTCTACTCTCTCAAATCTCCAAAAAACCCCAAACCAGTCCCCAAATATTCATATTTCTCAGAACTTGATGTTTCTCTTATGTGTAGTGATCCTGGTTTGACTAACTTGCTGATGTTGCATCTGTAACTGAAGACATTCTTACGAGCTACCTTTTTTATAATCTTATTCCAAATGTACATCTCTTTCATTCCTTTCACAGGTTCTTACCCCCAATGTTCCGGATATCACTGTTGTTACACCTGAGAACGAGCACCTCAGGCATGTGATTGATACAATGGCTCTCTATGTTCTTGATGGTGAATGTGCGTTTGAACAAGCTATCATGGAGAGGGGCCGTGGGAATCCACTGTTTAGTTTCTTATTTGAGCTGGGATCAAAAGAGCATACTTACTATGTCTGGAGACTCTATTCTTTTGCCCAGGTACATTTTAAATTCCTTATAGCTAAGTATATCTAAGATTCTCCTTAAGCTTTACATTGTCATAAGCTGATGAATGTATTTGCATTGTTTAGGGTGATACACTTCAAAGGTGGAGAACAGAGCCGTATATCATGATAACTGGTAGTGGAAGGTATTGAAGCTTGCCAGCCGTGAAACTGATTCTGGTGGTCGTTGAGTTTATCTTTACATTTCTATTGATTTGACAATGTCTTTTGCTCTTGTTTCAGATGGATACCACCACCGCTGCCTGTAAATAAGAGCCTGGAGCAAGACAAAGAGTCAGCAAGCACATATGCAGCGGGAAGAAGCAGGGTAATCATCTAGCACTTCTGATTTTTTAATCTCATTTTTTGTTCTATAGTATACCTTACACTGGTAAATTTTACAGCGTGCGGAAGTTGAGAGGCCTCTGACCGATCCTCAAAGGGATGACTTCGAGGACATGTTGCGTGCTCTAACTCTAGAAAGGAGTCAAATAAAAGAAGCTATGGGCTTCGCTTTAGATAATGCAGATGCGGCTGGAGAGGTATTATTAGTTCAGTTATATTTAGATTAACATACATCAAATACTTCATAGATATCCTTCAGAAGCGTCAGATATGTTAATAATCCCTTATTTGGCATTATACATCTAAAAGATGCATTATAAACATTCTTTTTTCAAGACATCTCATTGAATCTCTGAACATAAGCATCGTTAGTAAATAGATATTCAGACGCCCTTTCCTGTTTATTTATGCGTATTTTGTTCCGCAGGTTGTTGAAGTTCTGACGGAGTCCCTGACCCTAAAGGAGACATCAATTCCAACTAAAGTGGCTAGACTCATGCTTGTGTCTGATATTCTTCATAACAGCAGCGCACCTGTTAAAAATGCATCTGCATACCGAACCAAGTTCGAAGCAACACTGCCGGATATAATGGAAAGCTTTAATGATCTCTACCGGAGCATAACTGGAAGAATTACTGCTGAGGCTCTAAAAGTAATGTCAGAAAGAAAATTAATTACTTATGGTTTTCTTTGCCTTAATGAATTGCTGTTGTAAACTCATTTGGATCTTTTGCAGGAACGAGTTCTCAAAGTTCTGCAAGTATGGGCGGATTGGTTTCTCTTTTCAGATGCATACATAAACGGACTACGTACGACATTTCTTCGTTCAGGAATCTCTGGTGTTACCTCATTTCATTCTATCTGCGGTGATACACCTGAGATAGAGAAGAAAGGTATGAGCGATACTGGTCATCCAGATACTGCACTTGCAATAGGCAAAGAGGCTGCAAGGCAAGAGCTGATGGAATTACCAATTTCTGAGCTTGAAAGACGCTGTCGACACAATGGACTGTCCCTTGTGGGGGGTAGAGTAGTGATGGTTGCTAGGCTACTTAGCCTTGAAGACACCGAGAAACAACGTGGCTATGAAGCAGTGGATGAAATTTCAAAGTATACGCAGCAAGACCATTCAACTTGGGAAGAAGTTAGGAATGAGCCTGAGGTTGAAATGAAAGAGTCTATGAATCTGGTCACTACAATACCAATCCCTCAGCCTGAGGTGAAAGACTTTGTGGGAAAGGAGAAGAGTGACCGCATATTGACAGCTTCAAAATGGGCTAAAGAGGATGACGAAGCTGACGATGAACCAAAGAAGAGCTACTCTCCGGGAAACGGCGATGCTGGTGAAATGACTTTTAAGGCCGATGACGAGGATCTCAAGAGTAATGATCGTGTTCGTGCCCAACCTGATAATGGAATGGACGAGGAACAAAGGTTTGATCACTTCATCTACTTCTGAAAAGATAACAATTTGCGTTATTGCTTCGAAACTCAATAGGCTGCTCCCTTACTCTGTTTTTTTCTGTACTGCAGACAAAAGCGGAGACGCATAGAGGTTGCTTTGATAGAGTATCGTGAAACTCTCGAGGAACAAGGGATGAAAAACCCCGAGGAGATAGAGAGAAAAGTAGAAATCAAGCGAAAGAGGCTTGAAGTTGATTATGGCTTATCAGGAGGATCTAACGAGGGCAACAGAAACCGTAAGTTATAATAAGCCTTGTTCATGTTCGGTATGATTCAATGAATTACTCGTACAAATTTTAACAGTGCTTGTGGCTGCAGAGAAATCAATAGTAGAGAGGAAAGAGAGACCTGAAGATTCACGAGAATCGTCTAAAAAGCGACACCGTGGAGAAAACCAGAGCCAAAGTCCACCAAGGAAATCATCAACAAGGGAGAGAGATCATGACTTGGACCGAGACAGGGACAGAGGGAGAGCCAGAGACAGAGATAGGCAACATGATTTGAACAGAGATCGAGACAGACGTGAAAAGAGTTCAAGCCACGAGCGAGACGATCATAGTGCAAGCAGAGAGAGAGACAGGGAATGGCGCAGACGAGGGATGAGATGATGATGATGAATGTTCCTTCACCTCATGGTTTACTCTCTGCGTGTCAGGAAATTTATGTTCCTAGATGGTAAGATTTCAACCCTTTTGTGTTTCTAAACAAAAAAGATACGTAGAACTTATTCTCAGACAGCTTGTAATTGTGTGTTCCAGACCCAGTTTTTAAGATTTCTCACTCATTGTTCCATCTCCAGTTATAAATATTTTTTTTAAATACATTCATTTTCGACGGTTAAATTAGTTAATCGGTGAATAAGATTAGCTGCATTCATCCATTTCGCAAACTTTTACATCCATATCTGCAGCCAATCTTAAGCAGTAGCAACCATTTTTGTTAACATCTAGTACTTCTTCTTTTTTGCAAAAAAATAAAAATAAAAAAACAAATTAGATGTTTTATTTTATATAGTTTTATATTATAATGTTTGTTTAATTAATCAAATTACAATTAATATTCTCTCCGTTCATATTAAATGTCGTTCTAGAAAAAATTTTGCGTTACAAAATAAGTGTTGTTTTCAGTTTCTAATGCAAAATTTATTAATTTTATTATGTAGTTTTTTTTTTTTATTGGTTAAAATATGGTTAGATGTATAGATAACTGTGTTTTTATATCGAAAATATGTAAAACTAATTATTTTCTTAATCCATGTGCACAGGTGTAAAATGACAAGAGTAATGTTTTATTTTTAAAAATAAATTAAAAATGTCTTAAATTAGTGTGCATCAACTTAAATCATCAACTAATAAAAAATATAGAGAGTAAGCTGCAAGTAACATTATATCGAGCCCCCACCACACTCGAAGCAGCCAACCAGAGAAAAGTAAACCGAGAGAGAAGGACATCGACTGAGAGAATCACACACACATCATGAACCAAACCGAAAGCTCTGCCAACGACAATAACCCCAAACCGGCCATAACCGGAGAAACATCCGCCATACCGGAGTGGATAACCGAGACAATCAACGGTGGATCACTCCCCCACGTCGACCTCCATACCGGAGTCAACGGCTGGGCTACACCTCCAAGCAACGTCTTCCCTCTTCGCTCCATAAACTACTTCCCCAACAAACAAAAATCCCCAGGAGGAGACTACCTCCTCTCTCCCACCGGCGTTGACTTACTCAAATCCACCACAAAACTCAACAACCTCCTCTCTCGTCCCGACAACCGCATCAGAAAAGCCCAATCCCTAAACACCTTCATCTTCGCAATAAACTTCCAGATCACAGGCAAGGAACACCACAGCTTAGCCTTCTACTTCTCCACAGACCAACCAATCCCTTCCGTACTAAAACGTTTCATCGAAGGAGACGACACGTTCCGTAACCAGAGACTCAAAGTAGCAGGGTCGGCCCTGGGGGATGCCTAATGAAACATTTGTTTCAGGCCCCCGAAAATTTTGAAGAAAATTACATAAGTATAGACCCCAAAAAAAACTTTTTAGGTCTCCAAAAATTTTTTTTACACAGAAACCGTCACAGGCCCCCAAAATCTCAGGGTCGGCCCTGCAGAGTAGTAAACCAAGTCGTGAAAGGGCCGTGGATAGTCAAAGCCGCGACGGGGCAGTTCGGAGCGTTCCTTGTCGGGAAAGCTGTGACGTGTACTTACCATAGAGGACCGAACTACTTTGAGGTTGATGTCGATACAGGTAGCTCGCCGATATTGGCGGCGTTTGTTCGGTTTATGGTTGGGTACGCGAGGAGTCTTACGGTTGATGTTGGTTTGGTTATTGAGGCGCAGACGGAGGAGGAGTTGAAGATGTAAGATGTCCGCCCTGAAGTAGTCGCTGACGTAGTTGCTGAGGCAGACGTCGTGTTGAGTGGTGAAAACCATGTGGAGTCAAGATGCTGAGCTGGAGTCGTGTAGACTTGGAGAGCAAGGGTGTATCTTGGAGAAAAGGCAAGAGGAATAAACTTGAGGAGCAAGTTTATGACTTAAAGAAAGAGGAATA